GAGAGGAAATGCATCCTCAGCTGAACTCATACAGGCAGYTGGAGCCAGGCCTGAGGTTGAACTTCAGTCCTACAATGCCTACAACCGACCCTACCAAAGTGCCTCAGTGGGACCCAGGACAGAATTCCAATCAGAAGACCTGCAGATCGGCACAGTTTTCCTGTGCACTAACCTCTAGCACGAGAGTGCTGAGCACGTGGCATGTAGCTGAATGGAGTTGGAGGATTCATTTAAAACTCACCACCACCACCACTCTTGTGAATCAGAAAATTTTCATCAGGATGCAGCTGAATGACTTTGGTTAAAGATATCCATGTCCTTGAGTGGAGCTAAAACACCTTGAAATCGAAGACACTCAGCAAACCAGAAACGGGGAGAGAATAAGTACCCTTGTGAGCACTGGCCTGGAACAGGTAGGTTGAGGGGCTGGGTTGTCGACTGAGCGAAACCTCAATTACAGAGTAATCTAACATACACCCAGGTACATTATCACAACTCCATAAACAGCTCTTCAGAATTAAGTAATTTCAATTTGCTTTCAATGYGGTCTGTCGCCCAGAGAATTTGATATTACCCGACTCAGGTTAGGCAGCACCTTGCTTCCGAATCCTCTGTCTTTGCCATCCCAGAATGGCACATGAGCCACGAGCCAGCCAGACATGAACACATCTGTGTGGCGAGAGACAGGCACCCAGCCTAGGCTGCTGCTGCTCAGCTGAGCACGAGTACCTGCTGGGGCAGCTGTCCCGGGGCCTCCAGCTCTTGGCACCCCTGGGCACTGAGGGGCCCTGTGACCTCTCAAACACAGCATGGCTGGACTTCTGAATGAATGATGCCKGGGAAGGCTTGACCCATGTGACCAGATGGCTGGAGACAAGCAGGACCATCTAAYGAGCTCTCCTGACAGGTCAGTGGTAGCCACGGAGGGGGCCCAGAGAATTCTGCCTGCAAAGACACCAGGATGTTCCCAAGTCCACATTTGTCTATTTCCTCCCTCTCTTTCCTTACTTTCAGGATCTGAGCAGTTTGGATCACTATATGGGAAGAGAGCACAGGCCCCACCTTGCAGAGGCCTTAAGTGGTTTCTCCAAGGCCTCCTGGGCCAGACGTCCTGTCCCACCCACAGAATCCACCACCTCTTTACCTCCTTAGCTGGGAGATCCCACCTGCGTGGGCCATTTATTTGATGAAGACGTCGGAGCCTGGCCACCAAGCACTGTTTTGTGAACTCCTACACCTGTGATTGCATTTAGTCTTCAGGACCCTGTCTTCAGGAGGGAATCCTGTATCCCCATTTCCAGAGGAGCCAGTGGAGGCCCTGAGAGGTTGATGTCATGTTCAAGGTCACACCGCTGGACAGGATGGGACCAGGATTCAAACCCAGGCATCTCCTGGAGTTCTCTCTGCTGAATTGGAACCCAATGGAAGAAACCTGCGTGGAGAAAAACCACACAGGGATGATTTTCTTTCTGTGACGCCCCAGAGTCAGCCAGGGGCTCCGGCCCTCGGCCCACACCATCTGTGAGATGCAGAACTCTATCAGCGCTCGGGAGGAGGAAATGCGGGCCACAGCCCATCCCCTAAGACTCTGCTTGACCCTGGAGAATCCTTTTTTTTTTTTCAGATGATCTTCCTTTCTCAAAAAAGATTAATGTTTTTTTCCCCCTTGTTTTCATTTTTTTAACAAGGGTAAATACTTCTTCAAGGGTAAATATTAAAGTGCTGAGGCTTCCTGGCTCACAAAGACTAAAGCTCTTAGGAAGGAGATGAACCATTCTTCCCAAGACAGGCTCCCCTACGTGCTCTCCACTGCCGCCTTCAAAAGGGTGCTGGGCACTCACACCAGGGTGGCAGGATTCCTCTGGTGATTCCRCTTCTGGATGTCACTACTTCTCCTTTTCTTGCTTTGCTTGGCTAACTAGAGCTCTCTCACTGTGTGTGCGTACCTGTGTGTGCGCGTGCGCATGTGCATGTGCGCGCAGGGAAGGGTTAACTGTATTTCTCCAGGAACCTGGAAGTTAGCCAGGAGTAGATGAATTAAAATGGCAAGTTTGCTACAGAGCCCCCGGGACTCCTGGCATGAACCCTGCCTGTTATCTGCACCCCTTGGACACTGTTCATGACATTGTGTCACCAGGTACCAACAAGGCCACAATCCTCAGGCCTCCAAGGGATGACCAAAATAGCATGAGCCAGACCCAGCTGGACCTCAGCTCTGCCCCTTAGGACTACCCTCTGTTTCTCCACCTGGCTGTACGGGTTCTCTGATCCATAAAATGAGTTGAAATAAAACCAACGTGCACCGCTGCAATTAAGATAAAATGAGATAACATATGTGAAGGGACTTGTCTACATTTAAGGGACCGAGCTCATGGCTCATCACCAGCTGAATATTAAAATGTAGGGAAAATAGGCACTGGAAACAGTGCTATCCTAGGCCAAAAATAAGGATGAAGTTCATCCGGGTATGATAAAATCTGGGTAGCAGCTTACAGAGAGCGCCAACCCACCGCTGCCCAATGTGAAGTGCCACCCAGCACATCCCTTAAACTGGAGGAACAAGGACTGTCCAGAGCAGCAATGACCACTGGATCATACTGACAGACCTGGCCAGTGCCCCTGGGTCCAGTGGCAGYACTGACCACTCCCTTCAACTGAGGCTCAGCTTGCAAGGCCAACAAAGGATGAATCACTGTCCAAGTGGACACCTCTCCAAGCCGAGGCAGTGATGCCGTACCAGGTCCCRTGCCCCAGCAGCCTCTGGGCATGACTTCCCACTCCTCCCACCCAGCCACTGAACGGAGGGCGGCGTAAGGAAAGGATAAGGCTCGCACTTTCTGGTTCCGTCTGCCTGTGGGAAAGCTTCCAAGTGCAACACTAGCTCCTGTTTTCTTGGCCCTACTCTCTTGTCTCCAACTTTCTACCAGGCATATGCAAAAGGGCTCATGGACCGTGGCAAACCTGAGAGAATATCACCGTATTCTCTCAAGGGGCTCCCAGTCTGGCCTGGGAGGGTGGTCAACAAAGAGGCATTATAAGCCATGCAGGGGACAGCTCAGGAAATGACATAGTCACTGAGTACTTGAATGGTCCGCAAAAGCCACTCTGTCTCACAAATCAATCTTATGGCAGGAAAAAAAAAAAAGCAAAGATATGAGCCTAATGCAATCAAAATGATGGCTTCTTTTATATATTAATGGCACTTGATGTAAAAGAATTTCAAGATGATTTTTTTGTACTAGTTGTTTCGTTCACGATGGCTTAATTTGTTGATCTTTGGCTAAAGTGTTTGTGACATTATGGTGATGAAATGAATGCCTGCTGAGGCCAATAATTCACTCACTCATCCATTATTCCACAGATGTTCATAGTCGAGCCTTCGGAGATGACTGCTGGTTCAGGCTAAGAGAGAGAAACCATTGGCCAGATCACGGATCAACGGATGCAGAATTTATGCCAGGCATTGAGCTAAGTGGGAGGACCCAGAACAAAACTGATGATGTCCCCTCCTCTCACAGTTACAACCTGAAAGGCGAGACAATAAAATAACCAAGGGAAACTCCCATAGCAGAGGGGAATAGGGAGTTGGGGTGAGGTGACAGAGGCCAACCTCTAAGAGGAGTCAGAAAAGCTTTCTGGGAGAAGAGGACGTGACATTTGTACTGAGACCTGAATAGTGACACACCACCAGCCAGGTGAATATCCATCTGGAGGCAAGATGGYCCGGAACAGAGAACTCAGCATGCAATCCTCGTTCTGGAGCCAGCCAGGTGACCTGTCAACGGCCAGGTGACTTGTCACACGGGGACCAGCAAAGACAAGTCAAGGTTTTTACGCCAACACATGCTTCCACTAAGAAAACCAACTCCAGAGCCTTCCAGGGATGGATTGATGTTCTTTTTCCCTTCAAACACACCAGGTCTCTTCCTACAACTGGTATAATAGAACAGCTTCATTATTCCATTCTCTAAATTATGCTATATTGAAATTTTAATCGGTGAGCATAATATTGGTAAAACAAGTACATTCCTATGCCGTTGTTGCTGGTGTAAATTGTCAAACTGTTTTTGTTTTGTTTTGTTTTTTGCAAAAGCAATATTGCAACACAAAGAAAAATCCATAAAGATGCTCATATTCTTTGGCCTTCCAATGCTACCTCTGGGATTTATCCTAAGGAAAGAATCTAGTTCAATGGAATCAAAATGTTGTCTCCAGAAGAACTGCATTGAGGTGTTAATTGTTGTGCACCCAAGGAAAGGAAAAAACAAAAACACCCAGAATTACCTCAATGACTGCAAATAGGGGGATTTTAAAAAGAGGAAAGTGCATTTGGTGTAATATYACATGCCCATTAAGCAATAACAGCACAGATTACACACAGCTTCAAAAATAAGCAGGATGCCCAGTTTCTTGAAATAAGCAGAAAAGAAAATAACACATGTATTTTAATGGAAAGCATGTAAATGATATATCTCAAGATGAGCAAGAAGAAGACAATTAAAAAGAATCGAATCAAGGCCAGTGGGGTATGGGATTATTTATTTCAAAAGTTCTCCCCAAATATTGTCATTGGGTCAAATTTTCAATTTTTAAAAAAAAAATCCCTCAGTAACAACCCTACAAAAACACGGCAATAGAATATCACCAAAGCGCAAGGACATCTGTTCATCATGACTTAAGTACAAAATAAAGCCAAAGCTGGAGATGTCCTCTGTGTTCCATATCCCACGGTCTTTCGCGTATGTATCCTCGAGGCGACAGTCGACCTTGAATAATGATGCATTGTTGTGTGAGTTGGCAATAGCGCCCGTTATTCTTTGTGGGGTGTTAGTGGAGGGAGGGGGAAGCAAATCTCCATTTGCTCTGCTACCCACTGAGGGGAAAGGAGGTAGCAGATGGGGGGTGGGCTTTAACTCCTCAGCAGCACAGGGCTGCTATAGGGCAGAAGAGGCCCAGTGTCCCCACCACTAGGGGTGGAGGTGCAGGCAGGTGGCACTCACCTTTCACGATCAGCTCCGCGTAGTTGGACACACCAGACCCTCCATCTGAGCGGATCACACAGCGGTACTTGCTGACGCTGCGCTGGGCAGTGTCCGCCACACTGACTGTCGCTGAGAAGCGCCTGTGGTTGACCACACGGGTGACCATGAGGGCCGTGTCTCTGCCATTCCACTGCTGCAGGACAGAGGAAAAGAAGGAAGGGAGAAATCAGCGTCACAGGGCTCCCTGGTGACCTCCAGCGTGGCCACTCCCTCTCACCCCATGCCTGGGGTCCAGCATGTCCCACGAACGTCAATGGGTCTCCACCCTGGTTTGTGCTAGGGATCAGATCCAAGAATATACTTGGCTAATGAGCTGATTCCAGAAGAGAGTTCCCTGCTGGGAAGAAAATGAGGAGGGTGAAGAAGACAGAAGAAGAAGAGAAGGAAGAAGAAATCCTTCCGTTCGCCTCTGCTCCTTGCTCAACCTGCATGTGGCATTGGCCATAATCCTTTAGCTGTCCTCCCTCCTATGTCCCTTCATCCCTTAAGCAGAAACCACTGTATTCCCCACAGACAGGTTTGGGTAGATAATGAAAACCCAGCCCACGTGGAGTAACCCAGCCCCACAGTTGGCGATCTGCTATCCTACCTGGAACCTCTGGGCACCGCCTGTACCATGCTGTCACTATGGAGAAGGGCCTGCTCAACACCTCTTCCCTGGCCATATGTCCTTCCCCTGCCTGGAAAGCCCTGTCTTCCTAGGGATGTACCAACTCCCTGAAAACCCATGTTCAGCTCCCCACCATCTTAAGTAAGTCCCCCTGTCACTCACCATCTGAAAGCCATCCAGGTCTTCATGGATAGCAAACTTTCCATGCATCTTTTACTGTGAATGCCCCCCATTGGAGGTTTGAGTCCCCCAAAGGGAACCAAGTTGGCAAATACTTCCAAAAATCAAGGTAAATAAATATGGACTTTCATCTTTAGCATCCTGAGATCTAGATGCAATATTCTGAGTTAGACTAGGACTCTCACAGTCACAAGTTATGGTCACAGGGAAGGCACACGCGTGTGAGAGCAATTTGAGGGAATGTTTATTAAATATCTAGTACGTGCCAGACCCTGAGCTGGGTATTTTTCTACAAGCCTCCTTTTTAATCTTCACAGTCTTGTTTGAGGTGTGTATTATTGCTGCGCTTCTCAGAAGAATTCAAATGTCAAAGAGGTTAAATAAATATGTAGAGCAAATAAGTCCCTCATCCAGGCTTTCCAACTTCAAGTCAAGAATTCTTTTCTCTAAGACCTTTTCCCCACTGCCTGGCCTTAATTTAAATTTTTTTTCCTCCAAGTGAAACTAAGCATTTTAATTGTCTAACTGGATTCACAGGGAAATCTGGTGATTTATGCTTCCCATGCCCTGAGTCTTCCCGGATGTGATCTTCATGGCTTCCTACACGGCGACAACAGTCGCAGCATGTGCATGACCTACTTTCCTCCACGTTATCTTTCAACCTGACCCCCTCGGTGACATGTCAGGACAGAGACGCAGGAGCAGGTGCAGCTACCTGCTCGGCTGTGAAGCCGACCTGAGCAGGGATCATCAAGGCAGGAAACATGAAGGAGCCCCGACCCCCACAGGAGGGCAGCTAGCAGAGACCTGCTCAGGGCCAGGCACGGAGACTGCAAGTCACATTTCCCTTCTTTTTATTTTTTTTCACATTCTCCTCAAACATGTATCACCCTTATACTTAAAAATAATCCAATAAATGGTATGTTTCAAAAGACATGACAGTAGGAGAAGCAGCCATGTCCCCCTCCCACACCAGAAACTACCTAACATGACCAGGTGAAATGCAATGTAAAAGGAGGGGTCATTAGGTTGAAATGGCCATCCAGCCTCCCCACGCTTGATCCGTGTTTGCAAGAGATGTGTGCCACTTGGATTCAAATGGGAGAAGTCACCAGACACCATGGGCAATGAGGAAGGACCAGGAGATCACCCAAAGGAGCCTATGTTACCCATTTCTGGACAAGGCACTGCAGGCCACTATGGGAGGTACAGATGAATGAGTCAGGACACTTTGGGGGAGATTTTCCAGCCTGATTTAATTAGAACACCATGAACACATTTCCTTTCTTTTTAAAGCTAATATTGAGGAAGCACTATTATGTGCAAAGGGTTTTAGATGCTTTTGCATTTACTCCTCATGCAAACGCCTAAGGTGGGCACACTTCTGAGCGCCATCGTATCTGAGGATGCTGAAGCTCAGAGGTGTAGAATGGCCCAGCCAAGCTGGAGAGCCGCAGAGCTGGGAGGTGGATGGAGGGTACTGGCTTTGGAGCCTGCCCTCCAAACTCCCTGTGTGCTGCTCTAATCTGCCCCATCCCCGTCTCCTTGCGCACCCTGATTTCCAAATGTGGGACAATATGCGCAAAAGGTGTGACACCAGGGTCCACCTGTTTGCCACCAGGTTTTTGACTTGGGGTAAAAAAAGAGGATATGGAGATAGGAATGCCACGTCAAGGATGATTAATTAATTAAGCGAAACTGCACCTGACCCAACCATTAGCCCATGAAGCACAGCTTGTGAACAGCCAAGAAATCCCGGAAATCAGTAAGGAGAGACTGAGTGTGATACCCCCCCACGTGGGCTCCATAAAACATGGCGTGTGCAGGGAGAGGATAAAGAAAAGTCCTAAGGGGGGGGGGGGGGAGAAACCAGAAGGAACCAGGGAAGAATGGCAGAAAGAAACTGGGACATTTGGAGAATTTCCCATGGCACTGGAGGGACAGAGCAGAATCAGCATTTCAAAATCTCAAGACCTGGAGGACGGACTTGAAAAAATAACCCAATGAGCAAAGAAAGCAAAGATGGCAAGAACTGGAGGTGGACAAATTCATTAAGAAAACAGACAACTAGCTACCACAGAGGAGCCGAGGCTCCTAAGGAAGAGAGTCAAATGAACAAAACACAAATCTGGTGCCAAGATGTATTAGGTCACCTTTCTGGACTCACGTGAGAACTGAATCTTCAGACCCAAATGGCAACTTAAGAAGCTATATGGAAACCCATAACATTGAGGTTCACAAAGACACTGACTGTTAAGGATAAAGAGAAATACAAAACTTTAGAAAGAAAGAAAAAAAAAAAAAACAGGGTACAAAAATCTGAAACCCAGCATAAGACTCCTTTTTGTCCATTGTTTCCAAATCCAAATTGACCTCCCCTGGATGTGACTGGCCCACCAGTGGTCACATGTGGGTTCCCAGGAGGCTACAGTCAACTCAGCTCTCATAAGAGGACAGGGACAGAGCTAGGGAAAGACAGGGCAGGGGTTGCTAATACAAAATAAATGAAGATAAACACCCTGTATGGGTAACCTTAGGCAGGAAATTCCATTTCTCTAAGCTTTGGTTTCCTCATATGTACCATGGATTTGATAAGGATGCCCAATTTGTGCAGTTACTGTGAAGAACATATGAGAAGACATGTAAAGCGCTTAGCACATGAAGGCCACGTTCTGGTGTTAGCGAAGCTCTCCAAATTAACCATGAAACTAGCAAGAAAGAAAGAAAGAAAGAAAGAGTGACGGACAGGATAACAGCCCTTGAAAGTCAGCCACCTCCTCATTCCTGGAGCCTGTGAGCATGTTGACTTACCCGGCAAATGAGACGTTGGAGAAGTGATTGAGTTGAGGATCCTGGGATTGGGAGGTCGTTTGGGATTATCCACCCAGATCCAGTGTAATCACAAGGATCCTCATGGCTCAAAGAACAAGGCAGGAGAGTCAGAGAAAGAGGTATGGGGCTTAAGGAGAGGTGGGAGGGATGCAGTTTTGGACCAGAAGCCAGAGGAGTGGGCAGGAGCCAAGGAACGCAAGCAGCCTCCACCAGCTGGCGAAGGTAAAGGGGTATATTCTCCCCAGAACCTCTGGGCCATACATGTCCCATGTCCCAGCTTGATGTCACCCACTGAAGCTCATATTTCCTTTCTCACGGCTACAATTTTAAGAAAATAAATTTAAGTGGTTCAAGTTGTGGAATCATTAGAGTAGCAATAAGAAACGAATACAAAAAGACTGGTTAAGTGCAAAATATTCATTTTTCACAGTTAGCCTAAATTTTATTTTGATGTTGCCTTCAGTATTACTTATCTTCTTAGTGATGTCAGATTCTAGGAAGACCAGAGAGGATTAAGTGCATCGCCTGAATGATGCGTATTTTTCAGTTCAGCTCCTGAACCAAGAGCCTTTCTCTCATTGAAGGGTAGGAAATTGCAGGTTGTCTCATAAAATCTCTGGAAAATAGGCCTTTTGATAATCACACTTGTCATATTGGGAGCAGGCAACAGCAGGACAGGGACAAGCAGGAGGGCCCAGAGTCACGATAAGAAATAGTGATGTGCTGGACCATGGGCAAGGAGAAATGGAGGTTACGTTGAGAGGGATGAGCCCAGATGGGAATCGCCTGTGAGCGCAGCTATTTAATACAAGGCAGAGAAGGCCAGGCAGGTGCTGAAGGCCAAGGCTGGTGAGCAGACCCCAGAAACAGATATCAGTGGGATACTAGAAGACCAGGGAATCCATGCCCAAATGGCAAGAGGCCCAGATGTCAGAATTGCTATGGCCACACAGAGAAGGAATTTAAGCAGACTGGATGTGCAAGAAGCACAGGTCCCAGCCATCATCCCAGCCCCACATAAAAGGTACAAGAGACAATGCAAAGGAAGAAAACAAGGGGAGGTTTGAACAAACAGGTAAAGGATCAGAAATCCAGGTCCACGAGCAATGGAGCAGGCTTGGGTAGGCAGTGGGGAGTGGAGCAAGCAGGGAGTCCCTGCAGTTTGAAGTGTACCCCAACTCAGAGACAGGGTAGGAGAGGAAAGTTTCCCAATCCGCAGCTAAGGGTACAGCTCAGTGGTAGAGCACTTGCTTAGCATGCAGGAGGCCCTGGGTTCCGAATCCAGCACTGCAAAAATAAAAAATAAAATAAAAAATCCCTCTATCCCCCCCACCCCCCATTATGGATCAACATCCACCTATCAGAGAGAACATTCGGCCTTTCGTTTTTGGAGATTGGCTTACTTTGCTTAGATATTCTCCAACTCCATCCATTTACCTGCAAATGCCAATAATTTTATTCTCTGTTAATGCTGAGTAATATTCCATTGTGTATATGTACCACAGTTTCTT